ATCATTAACCTTCCATCAACAATACACAAATGTTAAGATTTGAATGAATTACTCTATGCAGTTTACCCACAGTTGAATATGATAGAGACGACGACCCCAACATATTTAACTGAACGCACAATTCTATCTGCACGTAACGATGATGTCAATCACATTAATACTACTGCATTGAATATCTTTCCATAGAGATTATATACTTATTTTGCAACAAATAAAATGTCTGAAGATAATGAAATTGATCCTACCATTACAAATAGATATCCTAATGAATATTTAAATTAATTGGATCCTTCTGGGCTACCAACTTTTAAGTTAGAGTTGAAAGTGGGTTGTCCTATAATATTGTTAAGAAATATTGCACTGAAAGATGAACTATGTAATGATACAAGATTGATTGTTACTAGGTGTGACACTCACATAATTGAAGCTCAAATTTTGGCTGGAGAAAAGTTTGGCAATTTGGCATTCATACCAAGGATATCTTTGATACCATCTTCTTTAGAAATGTCTTTCCAAATGACAAGACGTCAATTTCTAGTCCGATTAGCATATGTCTTAACCATTAACAAATCTCAAGGATAATCTGTGAAATTTGTTGGGGTTGATTTGTGCATACCATTGTTTAGCCATGGGCAATTATATGTGGCATTGTCCAGATGTACATCCTTTGATCGTATAAGTATTCTCCTCCCTAACGATAGTTTGGATTATACTACAAATATTGTTTATCTTGAAGTGCTGTTTAGTGTTCTATGTATTAAATCAAGTTTTATCAAAATATAACCATGTAGATTTATTTCTATATTTTATATAACTTTTTATAAAATTTTAATTTAATAATAATTGGATATATAAATTTTTGTAGGATTGGATCGAAAAATCTATAGAGCTTAAAAGGAGAAATACGACTAACTTGCTTCTATGAATGTGTAATAAGGTAAAATACAAGCAAAAGTGTTTTGATATGTATATTTTCAACAAATGTAGTAATTTATATTTTTTTTGTTTCCACAAATTACCAGATTATTGTGCATATTCTTTATTGGGGATATATACAAGTTAATACAAAGACTTTTTGGAAAGTAATGAGGAGGAAGTTTGGGCAAACACATGTTTGCAGAAATGTTATTGACACATTTTTTGCAAAGCATACATATTTTGGAAAGTTTTAACCCACTTTTTGTAAAATTTTAATCCACTCTTTTAGTCTATGACAATATAATGTTTCTTTTTCTTATATAGTTATAATTTGATTGGCAGCGGTAGCATTAACTGGTCTGTATTTTAATTTTAATTTTTTTTTTTAGATTGTAGAGCACTGGCTAGTGTGCATTATTTGATATTTAATTTAATTTTTTTTTTATATTTGATTTATTTGGAATTGTAGAGTACATGCTAGTATGCATTGGTTAATGTTTAATTTTTAATTTAATTTGTTGAGATTGTAAAGCAATTACTAATGTGCTTTATGCTTTATGTTTACAATTTTTTTTTTTTACTTGCTCTTATATTTTGATTTGCAATATTAATGAATATTATAAATCTTATATGTTTGTTTCTCAATTTGCATTAAGGCTGGGGGAGTTTTTTTTTGGAAAAATTAATCTAAGATCCCTCTTCCACTTTTAGTAATGGAAAAAATCCTCAATATTATTTTGTGATGTCTAAGGTCCCTCAACCCCTACACCTATATATCATAGAGAAATTTGATTCTTTCGTATCAAACCTCTTTTCTGTCTCTCTTCATCTGTCGTCGCTGCCCAATCTGCCATCGCCATCGGCCACCACTTGTTGCCGTTGTGCTTCTCTTACTCTCATGTTGCCGATCTCCTCTCTCTCTCTCTCTCTCTCTCACTTCTTCATCTTCTCTTTTGGAACTCGCTTTAAAAATCGAAACCCGATGACTTCAGAGGGAAGTCAAGTGCTAGCGACTGAACTTCACCAGATATATTTTGCTGCTGACCAGGCACTCCAACTGCCTCAAGGATTCTTCTCTTTCTTCCATTAGGGCGTCTATATTCTCTTTGTTTCACAAAACTAGACATCCGAGCAGTAGCTTCCACTTTATTTAACACATCGACACTAGGTCCCTCACTCTTCTTACCATTATCAACTTGTGATTCAGAAGCCTTCGTGGCAACCTCCAAATGAGTAGAATATTTTTTGGGCATCTGGTTTTGTAGGACATCTGCAATCACTTTTTTTGTTTGTGGTTTGTTTTGTTGAGGCTGCTTCAAGTAGCAACTATGCTGGGCTTTCTACTAAATTTGCTTGTCGCCCCCCTCTGACATCACCATAACGATTTATCTTCAACTCATCCAATTTAGTATTAGTTAGCCTCTGACCAAGTTCTTTCTCCTCAAAGTGGAAAGTAGCCACTGTCCCATCCAAGAAGCATGCAAATAGTGAATACCCATCAGGACTTTTGTTCCAAAGAATAATAAATAAATAAGTTGAATTTATCAGGTAGGCAAAAGAGTATTTAGATTAAAAAAATATACTAACCAATATCATCAAGTTACATAATTTCTATGAAGAGCTATTTTGACAATTGAATAGCTAACTAACCAGGATAAATCCACGACACTTTCAGTAAAGAAATGCTTGGCCACAAAGAGGGGATGAGGACTTGCAGTTGTCCAAATAGTTATAGTGCGATCCTGACTACCAATTGCAATAATATTATATGGCCGTGCTTCTTTGCCTCCTGTCTTAGAAGTTCCATTGGTAGTATTTAGTTCTAATATGCTTTGGTTGTTGGCTGGTGCTTTTGAGGTGTTTCTCTGTTGATAAGTTTGATGTTCAATTTTCTCTGGGTTGTTGTCTGAATGTCTTACAGTCCAGAGAAAACTAGTCAAAATGAAAATGGTGATTGTTTAATTTTCTCTGGCTTGATAAAAAATATAGAGAAAAATTATGAGCAAACCAGAGAAAATTGGTCAAAAACACAGAAAAATTCTCTGGGAAGCCCAGAGAAAAAAATCTTTGGAAGGTCCAGAGAAAATCTCTGTGTTATTTATAATGATATACAGAAACACTTTCTAAACCCATTTTCTAGACTCAATGCGCAAGTGATATGATTGGTTGATGAGTAGAGAAGATATGAGAGAGTGTTATTTATAATATCGTAATTGATTGTCACATCATTGGCTTAAAAATTGGGTCTAATTTTTGGTCTTAAATAGCAATGCCTTATATATATATATATATATATATATATTGTCTTTACATGGTTTACTCATTTACATTAGAAACCCCCAAAACAAGGTGGATTTCTAGTTGCAATATTCACAATCCTAAACTTAAATTAAAAAAGGAAAAAAAAAAGAGTGAGTTAGTGCACGAGGATGTCACTAAAATATAGAATAAATTGAAATGTTTAAAAGTTGGCCTCTTGCCCAGAATTTGGTGCAAAGAGGGAAAAACTAGGAAATATTTTAGAGGAATTAGTTAGTTTCTGCCAAGAATTTGAAATTTTTTGATGGCCCATGTTTGACAATATTGTATGATATAAATGAAAAGCTCCTCATTTATAATTTTAGCTAAACCCTTGTTCTTATTCTATGAGTGAGTGTCACATGCATGCACTAACATTGCAATTGAATTTTATAAATAGATTGGTGTAGGGATCCTTGCAATTCCTGCAGTGACACAAGAATCTGGATTTCTAGCCTCTGTGGTCATAGATTTCTGTGAGTACATGACTTAGCTCTTGATTAAAGTAACAATTCTATCTGTAAATAGATTTCTCATCCACTTAATTTTCTCTGCCTTGTTTAATTTTTTCTGTGGTGTTCAATTTTCTCTGGATAGATAGAGGGATTTCAATGTTGATCTAGAGAAATTTGATGTTAGTCTAGAGAAATTTGAATATTAGTCTAGAGAAATTTGTGAAAGGTTCAAGGGTTTTTGATGTTAGTACAAAGATCCATAGAAATTTGAATATTAGTCCAGAGAAATTTGAAGAAGGTTCAAGGGTTTTTTATGTTAGTTCCGAGATCCAGAGAAATTTGATGTTAGTCTAGACAAATTTAAATGTTAGTCCAAAGAAATTAGTCCAGAGAAATTTGAATATTCAAGCTCTTGAACCAGAGAAATTCCAAGGATTGCTTTGTATGTTGAATTCATTATGAATATAGACATAAATATGGTTATTGGATCAAATCTCTTTTTGTACTATAAGAATAATGTTGGATCAAATCACTAAAGCCATCAAACTGCAGACAACACAAGTGAATTTCTTTGGGTTGGAGGGTATTTTCTAGGGGTTGAGTAAATTTCTCTGGGGTGGAGAGGGAAATTTCTCTGGGTTAAATCTAGAGAAATTCTCTGGTGAGATTTTCTGTGTAAATATGCATCCAAATCACTGAAACCATCAAACTGTAGACAACACAAGTGAATTTCTTTGGTTAGAGGGGATTTTCTCTAGGGTTGAGTAAATTTTTGTAGGGTGGAGAGGAAAATTTCTCTAGGTTGAATCCAGAGAAATTATTTGTGATGTGTCTAGAGAAATTTGAAATTTTCTCTGTGATGTGTCCAGAGAAATTTGGAATTTTCTCTATGACTTGTCCAGAGAAATTCTCTAGATCGAATTTTCTCTGGATCGATGTTGAGGGACCTTAGACATTATGAAAATATTGAGTGTCCTTTATGCAATAAAATCTTAATACAAGGGACCTTAAAAAAAAAATCCCCTTACTTTTTTTATTTGAGTTTTGTAGAGAGTGTAATACAAGCAAAAATGTTACAAATTATTTAAGAAGAAAAATATTTTAATATATATATTTTTTATTATCTTTATCAAAAAATATACAAACTTTACAAATTTAAATATTATAAATTACAATTATATTTTAATTCTAACATTATTTATACCATGCCTTTAATCACAACCATTTTCTAGTTCCTAATCACAAACCGATTAAATTAACCGAACCACAGCATAACCGGAAATTTCGCAGAATAACCGGCCGGACCGGACCGATTTAACGTGTGCCACCCGCTTGGTTTTGGGTAAACGAGGGCTGGAATAGTGGAATTTAGCTCCAAGGGAATTCCAATTAAGTAGTTGCGGCATTGCCGAGCCCTTAATCGTAAACAGTGAATTGAAATGGAGTCATTGCTAGGGTTTGTGGAAACCACGAGCAGCTTCGATGTCGATGTCGACCGATCATGCAACTACAAGTTGGTCCCACGGCTTACCTGGGATGAATGGGAGTTCGTCAAAGACTCTCTCTTCTCTTCTTCCCCACACTCCCTTGCCTCAGCTCTTCGAAGAGTAAGTACTAACATAAAACTCCTATTTTTCGGGAAAATTTTCTCGAGAAACAAACGGAGGTTAATGATACTACAAATTTTAGCATGACTAATTGGGGTTTTCCAGATAACGGTGTGGCGAAGCAGAGGGTGTTTTCCTGTTGTGATTGAAGTAACCGCTTCAATTGTTGAAATTCAGCAAAAAAATCCTTTTTTTAGGTAATGAATTTTTTCCCCAAACTTTTGTTGGTTAATATTCCAAACTGAAATAAACTTGAATGTTGTGTGTTTATTTATTTTATTATTATGCTGAGGAATTGTCTTTTGTCAATTGTAGAGTTGGCCTTGGTGATGATGCTTTGGACTCGGAGGAGATGCTGACGATGCTATATTGCATGGCAATTGTGAGGTAATTATTGTTTTATTGATGAATTATTCTCATGGGTTTTTGGGTTGATGCATTAATAGAGAAAAAGAGATTAATTTACAATTGTTATTCTGCGTTTGATTGGGGGATTTGGGAAGTGATTTGGAAACGGAAGGGGAAAATTTGTTTATAATTTTCTTTTTCTAGTGCTTTTATTTTTCTTGTTTTTATTTTTTATTTTTATACTTCATTGGTACTACTAAACATTGTTTGGATATAAGAAAGCATTCATTCTCTCATGATGTCGTCTATGTGTATGACTATGTTGGAAGTAGTTGAAAGTTTTTAAAAGGGGTTGAAGTTGATAAATATTTTCACCTCAGGTTGAGACTTATATTCATTATTATTATTATTTTTGTCTAACTTGTATTTCAGAAACAAGATGATTTATTGTTTTATGTCAAAAAGAAGATCCAAAAGCATTTATCAAAAAAAAAAAAAAAAAAAAAAAAAAAAAGAACATCCAAGATCAACTATAGGATAAAGTTACTTGTACGTTCTCAACTCCCAAAACTCCCTACCCCTAGGCGAAAAAAGAAAGGAAAATATTTGGCTCTCAATATATATATTTCTTTCTTATATGAAAACTTGGTTGGCTTCATCCACACTCCCTTTAAAAGCAATATGTTGCCCCCTCTTTTAGGAGGAGCGGGGGGTGTTGGTGGGCTTAACCAATGCTGGCTAAGGTTATATCATGGTTCATGTTAAAAGTTGTGGTAAAAAAAATCATAGTTGCTCCAGGGTTTTGATATATTTTGTATAGATATGCAACTGTAAAAACCCAAGCTTACTAATATCGAGTAAGTATTTTAAGCTTGGCTTGCTTTCCCTAGAATTTGAGGTTGTATTGAAAAGTGAAGCTCAACCTTTTCTTTCTTTGTTACAATTTGGGTGGACACTGTCACGAGCTGTGTAGTTATTCTTGCAACCATTGGCGCTGTTTAGGAATGATTTTTTTTGTTTTTTTTCACTAAAAGACAAATTGGCTACAAAACCAAAAAAAAAAAAAACAAATTCAAACAAAATATCACATCAAATCCCATAATTATTTCACTTTTTCTCTCACAAACATCACATCCAATCACAAAAAAACCCAACTATCTTCCCAAGCACAAATTTTTTTTTTTCTAATAGTATCCTACAACTAAAAAAATCTTTAAAAAAACCCACTTCCCAAACACCCACATTGTTAAACCTGATGGAAAACCCAAGTTGACTAATATATTTAAGCTTGGGTTGCCTTCCCTAGAAATTGAGGTTTTGTTGAAAAGATAAGCTCAACCCTTTCTTTCTTTGGTGCAATTTGGGTGGACATTATCACGAGTTGTACATCCAAACCTGATTAGTCTTGCAACCATTGTTAAACCTAATAGAAAATCGTAAGGGATAATTTAGGAGGTAAATAATAATGCTTTTTTTTTCTTATTCTTTTTTATTTTTATTTTTATTTAACTGTTGTTTTGAGCTCAGCTTCCTAATCCAAATGAGCTAAACATTTAGGCTTGAGATGGCGGATATAAAAAAAAGGGGCGGCCCTTCACACAAGGCTCTCGCAAAAGTGTTATCCCCATATCTAGGGAGATTGTTCTTGTAACTTGAACTTGTGTCTTTAGAGACGCAAATAGTATGCCTTCTGGTTGGGCCAAGATGCCATCTCTGAGGAAGTTATTAATGAAAAATCTTAAATGCCTCAACCTTATCCTCGAACTTGATTGGCAAGGCTTAAGAGAAAATTAGGAGAATTGAGATAATGTATTGATAGTTTAAGCTTGTCTTGCTAAACAAACGGTTCAATTTTATTATCTATTTGGAAAGTCTCTCTTGCTTTGTTCCTTTGAATGCCATTTGTGTGTATGGTTCTTTTGCCTAGGAAATGATGTTGTACTTGTGTCAGTTTATACTTTTGTTATGAGTTTATTGCGTTGAGATGGGTTTGGCTCAAGTCTTTTTGCCACAATGGTAGTTTAAGGATTTGGACTTGAACTTGGCTTTATTTGATTTTCAACTCCTTTCATAGGTTTGATCCTTAAAGAAGCTTCTTGATTTGAAGAATTCTAGATTGTGAAATTCTCTTACCACTTACCAGATGAAATGTTCCACTTTTTTGGCCTTAAAGGTAATATAAAATTCGGTATAATTTTGTAAAACATGTTCTTAGCTGCGACAACATTAATTAAAAACTGTTACCAACACTCAAATTGTGATAAACAAGGTCATAAATTGCTCATCAATTATTATTATTATTATTATTATTATTTTTATGGCATTTTTTGTGCTTGAAGAAAATTCATGGCTCTAGTTTTGATTCCTATTATATGATATCATCAAACCACGATTGTTACATCATCCAATACTGTGATTTAAAACCATGAGCTGGGAATGGTGGTGTATGTCTTACCTATATATGTATAACAATAATTTATAATTTCAAAATAAGTATACTTGTTATTGGTATACCATATTTTTAAGGGTAATACATTTTATAGTCTATTTCCTTAAAATAAAATGTTTGTGGCTACTACAAGCACATGTTATTCTAGGAATTAGTGTTGTGAAGTGTTGAACTGTAATAAATAAGCCACTAGGAAGCACGGATACGGATACGAGACGATACGGATATGGCAATACGACAAAATTTGAAAAAGTAGGATACGGATACGGCGGGAATACATTCATAAAAAATATTATTTTTACAATTTTTAATAATGTAGCATACATAAATTTATCAATTCAATTAAATTTCAGTAATTTCAACAAATAAAACAAAACATTAGTGTAGCATCACCCATAACAACCATAATGCATCACCTATAACAAAAAATTCATCAATTCAATTAAATTTCAGCAATTTCAACAATATAACATCACCCATAAAACTATAATACAATTCAAATTAAGCGGGAAAAAATTTACAAAGTTTATTTATTTATCAATAAGTTTATTTATTTATTTATCCAGACCAGACAGGGTTTATAAGTTTACAAAGTTCATTAATAAGTTTATTTATTTATTTATTAATAAGTTTTTCTACCCTATTTGATTTATTTTATTTTATCATATAGGTAATACCGTAATGCATACAAAGTTCTTTTTTTTTTTTTTTTAATATCTTATTTGATTTATTTTATTTTATTTTACAGAGTATATATACAAAAAAAGAAGAAGAATGTGATAGCAAACGGAGAGCGAGAGACGATATAGATAAAGGGAGAGGGAGAGATCAACTGAGAGGGGGGGAGATGAGATCGAGCGATTTGTCCATCTCCAGACCAGACAGATCGAGCGAGAGAGAGAGAGAGAGAGAGAGAGAGAGAGAGAGATCGAGCGAGAGGGAGACAGAGAGGGAGCGAAAGGGAGAGAGAGGGGCGAACCTGATCGACGAGCGTCGAGCTGCTGTTCGCGAACCTGATCGACGAACCTGAGCGAGAGACGACGACGAACTCCTCTCCTCCTACGCCGCTGCTGTTCGACCTAGGTAGGTTTGGTTGATTAAATTTTTCTTTTGTTTTATTTTACCTTATTTTGATATTTTATACTTTGACCCCATTTTAAGTTTTTGAAATTATTTTTTTGTCCCGCCCTATCCCGAAAGTATCCCGACCGTATCCCGACTGTATCCTCGCGTATCCCAAACGTATCCACATTCAAAAATTAAAAAAAAAAATAGGATACTTTTTTCCTGTATCTGATACGTGTCCCACCGTATCGGGCGCGTATCCGTATCTGATACACGTAGGAGGACCATTTCGAAGTATCCGTGCTTCATAATCCATCTGTACATAATAATGTGTATGGAAATTGCTAATTTGATGAGCGATAAATAAGTTGAAAGTTGAAAAGTATTTTCCCTCTCCCCTGCTTCTGTTGGTTTAATTGCTTGCTTACTAGTGTTTTAATTGTGGGCACTTTCTTATTTTTTATTTTCCCTCTTTTGGGGGTGGGGGGAAGGAGCATTATTAAGCAGATGTGCCTTTTCATTTCAACTTTTAGTGACCACTCTAGCATGTGTAAGCTTCATGTTGAAATTGAATGTGATTAATTTTGCTCTCTGCATGTTTGCGACCTTCAGTTTCAAACTCTAAGAAGAAATTAGGCTTAACTCTTTAGTTTTTTCTTTGAAGGCATGTGAATGGTGTTGTTGAGAAGACATGCAAGAAGACAGAGGTATCAATTGCAGAGGCAGCTGATGCAATCAATATTCCACGTATGCTGATTGATATTTGCCATGGTAAGGAACTCCGAATAATCATTGTGCTCAAATCAAAATATGTATTTTCTTTATCTAGGTATTAACATTTTATCTTGCTATTCTAATCCCTAAGTCTAGGGAGTTGGTTACTTTTGAACCCTACCACTTTCGAGTCACATTAGAGGGTTAACATTTTAAGGCTTAGGGTGCATTCATTTTTGCAAAGCGTTTTCTGTTCAAAAAAACAGATAAAACGAAAACTTACATTGATCAATCTCTCTATTTTCTCTACTGGGTTGGCAACTGGATACCACTGAACCAACATTTGGTCTATCATTGATGTATTCTACAAATTATGGTCATGTTTTTCCCTTAAATGACATATAAGTAAAAACCAACATTGGTCACTCTTTGATGTTTATTTGTAGAGGGTTCTCACCGTGATCTCCCTTCACTTCGGCTGGTTCGTCTTGCTTCAATTAAGGTATGTATATGTTCTCTTTCTGTCGTATATAGTCTAATCAAACTGCCCTCATTGGGAGACTTGTTTGCCATGATAAGTTACTAGGTTTTTGAGCATGTAAAGTGTTTTGATGTCTTGTGCAGAAAATTGCTCTAATCACATGTGGGTAGCTCTGTAGTTTGTGTTGCCTGATATATTAGAAATGATTCCAAACACTTGCCTTGGTATTCTCGTACCAAAAGAAGATTGGACTGGGCTTGTCCAAAATCTTGGGCTTCAAACAATTACAAGATACGCCATGTCGGCCCAACATAACAATGTTACTGAGGTGAAGTGGGAGATTGTCCACATGCTAAGTTTGTCAAAGGACCCACTTGGTTAGCCTGTAAGAGGCACTGTTTTTCTTTCTAAATTGTTTGAGTCTTAAAAGAATAGATGGAAGTAGTTTTTTTTATTGATATTCAGATATGATTATGACAAAGTTTCAAAAAGAAGAAAACATATAGCAGACTAGGATCAATCTCGAAATTTTAGCAATTCAGGTGTGTTTCAACTGAAACAACATCTTTAATTCAAAAGATTCTAGTGAATTGACATAGAAAATTAGATGATCCAGAACCAAAAAAAAAAAAAAAAAAATTTAGAAATCAACCCTTCCATTTTACATGTGATGCAATCCACTAGACGAGCAAGAAAAAGTAAAGCTAAAGAAGTGGCAATATTTGGAAATTGGCATGAGCTATTATTTTTATTAGAGTCCTATTTGTGTTTGTTTTGGGTTTTAATATGCTACTAGTTAGTTTTGAATTAATTTTTGCAAGTTGTTAAGGTTTGGGGTATTTTGGTAATTTGTAGAATTTATGTGGGTTGCCATGGGTTGTCCTATGGGTTAAGTTGTTTAATTGATTTTTTTTTTTGGATTTTATTTGTATTGGATAAAGTTTAGAAGTAAGTTTTTAGTAGTTTCCTTTTTGGTAAATCCAGTCCTAATTGGAAAAGAAAGTCTCTAAATTCTGTATAAAGTCATGTGACGCTTCTAGTTTAATGGAGTTGATATTTAGAGAATTTTAGAGCTTTGAATCTTTCTTATGGATTGTGAGATGTGATATTTTCCTATGCTTCTAGGATAAATTACCCTTTAAATTTTGAAGCAGACCTTTTCACTCCATCTTTATGTTTTGCACCAAATCCAAACTGAAGGAACTATATGTTTTTCTATGCTTCTGGGAAATTACTCTGTATGGAGCTCCATGACAATACAACTTGAACTGATTAATCCAACTGAATTGTTTAGTAATATTCATGTTGATTTGAGATTACATGACCTACAATACACACCTTTGTACCTTCCACATATCTTGTGAATGGTATCATTAAATTCTGAATTTCTTTACTGTTGTTGTTGTCTGAAAGTTAAATCACAAAGCATTATAATTCTGTGGGAAATTTCAGGCACTAGATTGGTTGAAGTCTTATTATTGGGAGCCTCAAAAAAGGCAATTCCATTTCAAAGTGATGGCATTGGTAGCCTCCGAAGAGAAATCAAGTATAGACTGTGAATTGGCTTTTTGGTTGAAAATCAAGCACACTAAAGGTTCAAGTTCTTCACTAGCTAAGGGGAAACGTGCATATGGATTTTTCATTTTTTATTTATCAGTGTTTTTCTTTCCATGGCTTGAAGGATTCCTTGTCTTTCTTCCCCTTTGTATCCTTTTTAATTTGTGGCATTCATTCAATATTTTGTGTCTGCTATAAACTAAATAGACATTATTATGCTTCTGCCATATGTTCAATAACTCTTTGATTGTTATATGTGTGTGTGATAAATTGATAGTATTCAGAAGCGTTCTTCTGTTATATTATATTAAGATTGCCTATTGAGGTCTCTTTCTTTAAATGCTAATCTAGTCCTGGTTGGACCAACTTAAATTGTAAGGTAAATTGGAAAATGAGCTATCTATTATAAAATCTTTGATCTATTTTCATATAACAGCTTTTTAATTAAATACTTTCCTTTCTCTTAAATATGTATAGTAATTTGTTTTATTTCTTTCTTCTGTCACAAGTTAATAACAAGTATTACAACAGAGCGGATGCTTTAATTCAATATTCTGTTCTAAGATCCTAAAGAACCTGCTCTGTTCTAATACGTGCTTACTGTTATTAACTTGTGATAGAAAAAGGAAATAAACAAATTAACTTGTGGTATAAAAAATTTGAAAATGATACAAACAGGGTATTAATTTGAAATTAAGGCTCTTTTAGGAAGCACTTTTAAATTAAGACCCTGCTCTGCTTTAAGAACATCTGAAAAGGGTACACTTTCCAAATACATATGTGAAAATCGGTCTTAAAAATGATACATATTGTTTAATTATGTAGGTTCAGAAATAGGATAATCTATCGTTCAGAAATAAAATGAAACATTTGGAAACACTTCTCTTTAATGCAGGTTCAGAAATAAAAATGATACCCTATTTTCTCTTTACCGCATGTCTTAATTTCTCTTTAATGCAGGTTTAGAAATAAAAATTATCCTATTTTCTTTTTACATTTGAAGTTATACTTAAAAAAATTACCATGGATATTCAAGTGTATATTTTGGGTTGGTGTAATATTTTATTATTGTGTGGTTAATTAAAAGGACTTGAAAAATTTCAGTGTTATGATGCAAAATCCAATATTCAACTGCTAAACTGGTACTAAAGCAGTCACAGTCCACCTTTGTAGAGGCATTGTATTTCAGCTACTGAAAGAAAGCTTAGTGATGGGTTGTATACTATAACTTCCCCAAGTCTGACGCAAAAAGAAAAGGAAGAAGTAAAATCCACATGTTTACAGCTAAGCTTTTTGTAGGCTGCTTGTGATTCAAATACATCATATTTCTATCACAGTGGAAGAAATATTCAGTGAAAGGCCTAAAACTACGTCGTTTGTGGAGCAAATAATATTATGTGTAGATATATACTCATAATATCTGCCTGAATGAAAAAAAGAAATTCTTTGTTATGTCATAAAGAAAAGAAACATATTTGGCTACATTCTGTATGTTGTTTTGTGTTATTGGTCTACCACACCGAAGGCACATGCCTTATATTCAACCTTATGTGATTTTATTTTCCATATGTATTTGTTGTCCCTTTAAAACAACTTATATAGTCATGTTAGCTTTTTTTTTTTTGAAATAGCCAAAAGGAAATTTTATTGATAATGATCAAGCAGTAATGCATTGACAATCATCAATAAAAAGGGGGGAGCAAAGAGCATCATAACAAGATAACTCGCTCCCAGGAAGTATGAACATTCATATGGTAGCACCACCAGAAGTTGGTAAGACACCAACCTAACAGCACAAAAGACAAAAAAACCAGAAGCACACAGAGATCTATGGCCTAGTTTGGGAAGACTAAATAAGTGCACTTTTTGACTTTTTTTGTATTATGTGTAGAAAAAGTAGAGAGGAGATGTTGATTGATGTGACCCAAAAAAGATAAAAAGATGAAATAAGTGCACTTTTTTGGCAGTAGCCAAACTTGGCCTATATTAGCCACACAGGACAGATTTACTCCCCAAACAGTATCTGATTTACCTTAAATTGGTCAGGAAGTCCTGGACAGTGAAGTGAAAGCCCTTAAATCTCTGGTTCAACCACAATGCAACTCTGATTTTAATCAAATCACACAGGTCCTCCAACTGAGGTTTAGCAGCCTGAAAAATACACTCATTTCGCAGTTTCCACAGAGACCAAAAGACAGCTGAGGGAATGACTTTCCAAAGCAATTTTTCTTTCTTGCTAAGCTTAATACCTTCCCACCAATGAAGAACAGCTTCCACAGATCCTGGTAGAGCCCCTTGCACCTCCCACCAATTCAACATTGCAGCCCAAATATAGTCATGTTAGCTAATCCTAGTAGTTAGGACAATGGTCAGCTGAGTTGAGTTGAGAAGAAGAGTTAGTTTGATTTATCTCTTGCATAAAGGAACTTTATGGTTACTTTTCCTTTTTTTCATCTATTACTTGTGTTGTGCTCGTTTTGTATCTTTCTCTTTTTGCTATATTATTAATAAAATCTCCTTTGTTGCTGATAAAAAAAGGAGAAAAGAATTCAAAATTTATAACTACTCTATGACGTTTGATTTTATTGACATCCACTTCTTTTGTAGGGACTAAACATTGCGAACAACTTTGCGGGCGTAATAAGTTTCTCTCTCTTATGGCCGCAAACCCCAATCTTCAAAGTCTGCAGGTGAATCCATTTAATGTTATTTTTAAAATTTTCCAGACGTAAATGGCAGTGGTATTTTTCAGCTTTTTATACCCAGTCTTATGCTAAGACATGGTTCAAAAGTTGGGTTGTTTGATTTTTTATTTTTATTTTTTGTAATTTTTTCCCTCTCCTCTCCTCTCTCTCCTCTAAGTGCCATTTTAGTGGCTGGCTGTCTTGAATTTTAAACCAAACTGGTTTTCCCTTGGTTCACCCGAAACCTTTACAACACCAATAGGTTTTCTCTCGGCTCACTTGCAATCCTTATAACAAACTTCAAACAAAACAAGTAACTGGATTTTCTTAGTTCAATCCAAAACCAACCACCACCAATACACAAATTCTTATCACTTCAACTACTATGTTCACCTTGGGCTCCTAGGGTGTCTCTAAATGAGATTGAAGTGTACGTGTATGTAGGGCTGGGCATAAAAATAGCCGACCTGCAAAATCTGTCCTATCCGATCCTACCTGCAGTGAACTGGGTGGTTTCGGCATAAGTTTAGGATGGATGTGGGTCTAGTTTTAAGAAAAAGTTTTGGTTTGGATCGGGTCTTGGTTGGACCAGCACTAATCCAACCCACCTGCAGATCAATTTAAAAAAAAATGTTTCATTTTATTAGTTTGAACCCTAGCAGCAAGCAGCAGCCCAGCAGCTGCTTACTCTTTTATCATCTCTTCTCTCTCTCTCTCTCTCTCTCTCTCTCTCTCTCTCTCTCTTTCTCTTGCCGACTATTGAAAGAAAGTGAAAGACTTCTTCGATGATGATCTCAAGACAGACGGCGAGTTTTGACATACAGATGTATATACATATATCAATATCACACATATATATATATATATATATTCATGTTGTCCTTAAAGATTTGACAATAAAACTAAGGAATCCATCAGGTAATATATATGTATATATGCATATATCAATCATCATATATATATATATTCATGTTTTTCTTTTAAGATTTGACCATAAAACTAAAGAATGCTCCAATAAGATGTAATACTTTCTGATATGCTCCAATATAGTGAGGTGGACATTGGTTAAGCTTAATGAATTGGTTATGGATGCTGTGGGGTGCTGGTGCTATGCTTTGTTTGTATTTTTTCTGGAGCTGCCTGTGTTCTAATGGGTTTTCTTTTGGTGTGTGGCATCAGTGGGGTGAATGGGCGTGATTTGAGATATTAATTTTACATGTATAAGATTTTTAAATCTCTTGGCTATTAGTTTTACATGAAAATAGTCCCAAAAAAAGTGGCCAAAAAACAAAAAGCCAACAAAAAAATTTCAAGAAAAGCAGAAGCTTCAACCCCGCACATCCGATCTGCACCCACCCGTGGAGCCGACTGACCCACCTACACAAACCGCAAACCACATTTCGGGCGGCTGCAGGTCCAATTTTGTTAACCCGCAGCAGTGTGGGTCGGGTCAAACCTGCGACCCAATCCAGCCAAAACTGGCCCCCGACCAGCCATAGGTGTATGTGATGGCAATAATGTATTAACTACACAAGAAGGTTGAGAACAATACCTTCCACTAGCAAAGAGATCAAAGACTTTACGGAACAATGTCTTGAAAGACTTGTGTTGAAGGTTGCTCTCCCTCTCTAGGGTTGGATAAAATGTGTGTATAAGAGGTGTATAAACTCTCTAGGTGTCTTCTCTCATCAAAGAATCCTGATGGGGCTTGGGTTTATTTATAGGAGGCAGTCCCTGGCAACTAATATTTAGTTTTTCAAAATTTCCAAGTCTGTAGGCTTGCCCACACCACAATTTTGGTCAGCCCAATCTTAGTCTGCTGGAATGCACTCTTGGGATTCCACTTTGTGTTGACTTACTTGCTTGCTTTTGTTCGTCCACATGTGGGTATGCATGTATGGAAGACAACCTAAAAGGCCTACATGGTCGACCAACCTATATGGTTGGTCTCCTGTTGGTTAGACACAACCCTAGTTGACCAACCTTCAATGTTAGTTGCCTAAATTGACTAAATGAATTGTAGAGCCCATTCTTTATGGTCTTCTTGATCCCGTCCTTGTCTAAAGCTTTTTATTTGCCGATGAAACTTTCCCGTACCATCTTGCATGCCAATGAAGCTTTTCCATAATTCTTCAAGCTTCCAAGGCTCTAAGGCTTGTCCAATATACTCTCTTCATGAAAGTGGCCTAAGAAGCACAGGCATGATATATAACACAGATACGACACGACCACATTGACAAAATAGTTTAAAAAACAATTCTGTGTTTCTTCGGGGTGTGGCTTGGTTTCTATCTAAAAGCACATTACACAGTAATGAAATTCCCAACCTAATGCTAGTACTAACATTACTATCTCTTTGTTAGTTCTTTTGGGGGTTGGGGGTTGTGGTTTACACTTGGAAAATTTAGCCAAAACCCCTTTATTGGACTTGTATTTGGTGAAAAGGACAGTCCAGTTTATTTTGCTTCATAAACCTCCTAAGGAGGAGGCGCATAATTGAGTAAGGACGAAATAAAATATCATTTTTTTTAGACAATATTACTAGAGTAATATGTTACTTTGAACCGGAGTAACATGTTATTGTTTACATCAATTTCGACGGTAGTATAATATATATATTTAAGAATTTCATAGTCAACATGATGAAGATCATGGAAAAAAGAAAGAGTAAATCTGGAATTTCACATGAAGCACATTTAGGGCATCAATAGTTAAAGATTTGGAATGATTTGGAATAATTTTGAGTCTTCATGTCATAGTAGGTTTTCGTAATTAAGGGTATAATGGTAATTTCAATAATTGTTGGACATGGGTTGTAGGGTCACCCATGGGTTTTATTTTGGGTGAAGTTATTAAATGGGTTATTATATATGGGTTTTACTATGTCTAAAATAATCTTAGTGGTCAAAAGTTGAAGTTTCCTATTTTGATATTGAAGTAGAATTTATAAGTTATTAAAGTTTCCTATTATGATTGAAGTAGAATTGGAAGTCATAGTTGGTCTAGAATATTAGTAAACCAAACCAGACCAGACCAAACCAAACCAAACCAAACCAAACCAAACCAAACCAAATCAAGCCTTAAGTCCCATCAAATGGGGTCAACTACATGAATCATTTTTCTCCGCGCGATTCTATCAAAGGCCATTTCGTTGGTCAAATTAAGTAGATCCATATCTCTATTTACAACGTTAGCTAACGTTAATCTAGGTTTACTCGGTCCTCTAACATTTCCATCTACAGTCACTGCATCGCCTCTCTTCACTACTGCCTCTGTTAGTCTCCGTTGAATATGATTAAACTATCTCAATCGATTTTCTCTCCACTTATCTTCTATCGGTGTTATTGCTACCCATTTCCGAATACACTCATTCCTAATTCTGTTTTGTCTAGTCTTGCCATACATCCACCTTAGCATTCTCATCTCAGCCACACTCATCTTATCTATATGTTGTTTCTTAATTGCCTAACACTCCATCTCATACAACATTGCTAGTCTAATAGCCGTTCTATAGAACTTACCTTTTAGTCTAGTGGGTATTCGTTTATTGTGTAGTACTCCAGACGCACTTCTCCACTTACACCATCCCGGTATTCGTTTATTGCGCAGTACCCCTGACGCACTTCTTCACTTACACCATCCCGCCTTAATCCTATGGGCCACATCCACATCAATCTCTCCCGCCGTTGTGATAATTAACCATAAATAACGAAAATGTTCACTCTTAGGCAGTTCTTGATTCTCAATCTCCACTTCTCCTCTGCTTTCATTGTTACTGTTACTAAATTTACACTCCATATATTCTGTCTTAGTTCTGCTTATCCGGAATCCTTTAAGTTCAAGAGTTTTTCTCCGAATCTCCAATTTTGTGTTAACTTATTCTCCAGTCTCATTCACTAACATGATATCGTCTACAAAAAGCATACATCATGGCACGTCATCCTGAATATTTCTTGTCCACTCATCCATAATTAAAGTAAAAAGATAAGGACTTAAGGTAGATTCTTGGTGTAACCCTACAATGATAGAAAAATCATTTGTCTCTCCAACAGGCGATCCAATAGTGGTCACCACCTCTTCATACATGTCCCTAATCACATCAATATAAGCTTTTATTATCATTTTCTTCTCTAACACCTACTATATTATATCCCGATGCACTCTATCATATGCTTTTTCAAGGTCGATAAACACCATATGAATGTCTTTTTTTTTTCTTTATACTTTTTTATTACTCTCTTGCAAAGATAGATCGCTTTCATTGTTGATCTGCCAGGCATAAACCTAAATTGATTCTCTGACACCTCTGTTATATTTCGCAATCGGCATTGCATCCCCCTCTCCCACACTTTCATTATATGACACATTAGCTTGATTCCTCTATAGTTGTTGCAATTCTGGACATCTCTTTTATTCTTATAGATTGGCACTAAAATACTCTTCCTCCACTCATCTGGTATGTTTTTAATCAACAAAATTTTGCTAAACAATCTAGTCAACCAAGCAACTCCTTTTTTACCCAAACACTTTCAAGCTTCAATGGGGATATCATCGGGTGTTAAAGTTTTAGTTGATTTCATCTTCTTAAGTACAATCTCTACTTCAAAGTTCCTAATCTTGCAATAGAACTTATAGTCTTGGTTTATCATATTATTGGTTATTTCTTCCCCTATCGATGTACCTCCATGTTTCTCATTTAATAGTTTCTCAAAATAGTTCTTCCATCTCTCCGTAATCTCTTCATCCTTCACCAATACCTTAGAATCCTCACTCTTAATGCACTTAACTTGATTAAAATATCTTATTTTCCTCTCTCGTATCTTAGCAAGTTTGTGTGATTGGCCTATTTCTTGTGAGGGTGAAGCACTTCTCTCTCTTCTTCTTCTTCTTCTTCTTCTTCTATCCAGCAAGGCTACTGTTCACGTCATTGTTCGCAATGTTTAGAACGACCACCCAACTTTCCCAAAACACTTGTGTATTCATTCCCAAAACCCTACTCTTTTACAAACCCTTAAACTCCTATTTTTTTAAATACTTCAGCAGTCACAAAATCCTTCCAAATTCAGCCCTACAAGTCTACTATTGTTGCTGTCAGTATACTTAAACCGGGCTCACTGCTTGTAGGAAAGTAATCCTTATTCGTCCTACATCACAACATGGATCTTATTTGCAAGATCTTGATGAGAGGATTTTAAAAATATTAATTTTATTAAGAATTGATATTTAGATCAAAAGTTATATTATTTTAAAGTTTAATATTTTGGTAATAGTGGTATATGTTAGACTTTTCAAAGAAAACTTTTTGTACTTGTTCTTATTATATTAAAGTTTTATTATGAGGAGGTTTTGACCGAATCCCCCTTTACACTTGGCGAGCAAGGAGCCTAAACACTATCTATCTGGATATATGAATATAACTGTGAGGAGTGACGATGGCTAAATTGTATTTCACACTAATACCGACCATATAAGAATACAAAATTGCTGGAATGAATGTAATTTAGAAAGATCCAACCTGCTTTTTAGCGCAAAACTAGTTGCAACTATGGTAATTGGAATTACAAAATGTTAATAAGAACGCTCTTTACACTACTGCAAAGAATAATAATGATAAATTGTATTGAAGTATATAAAACATGATTTATATTATTACTCTCAGTTTTAAACTGCATGATTGAATCACAACTTATGCAACTGTACAAATGCTAGTGATCCAATATTATATAACTGTTAGAATAATACAAGCTTAAATTATATTAATCTCTTTATTTATTTATTTATTTTAAAGCAAAGATAATTGTCTTAATTAAGGCTTGTGGTTCATATATCAAGTTTAGTTTTTCCTCCATTTTGATTTTTGTTTTTCAGAATGTTAGTTAAGGGAATATGTCATTTGGGATGCAGCTGGAGTATTTCGGAATGGTGTTTTGTTTGTGTGTTTGGGCAGATTGATCCTATAAAAGCTTGGTATATTAAATTTTTGTTACTTTCGTATATTGAGGAGAAAGAAAAATAGATAGGAGAAATATAAGTATCTGTTACCATGCCATTTTGGACTTGTTATGTATCACAGAATTTTGAGAAAACTAATCAGTGTGTTTGGTTTGAGTTTTCTGAATTAAGTTTTTTGAAAATTGACTTTTTTGATTTTCGTGTTTTTTTATTTTTAGTGAATATTTTTAAAATTTTAAACATTTTTTTTTACTTTTTTAGACGCGCCTTACTTAGATGTATCTAAAAAGTAAAAAATTTGTGAAAAAATATTTTAAAAAATTAATAAATACATAAAAATATAAAAAATGTACTGAATTCTTGAATTTTTTTTTTGTTTTTTTGGCATTTAGTGAATTTTTAAAAGATTTTTTTACAATTTTTATTTTTTATTTTTTAGGTGTATTTATGTTAGGTGTGTCTAAAAAGTAAAAAAATTGCTTAAAATATTAAAAAAATTTAGTAAAAACAAAAAAACACGGAAAATAAGAAAGTAAAATTTTTTGAAAAGTGTTTTTTGAAAAATGGAAACAAGCAAGGTGAATATATTTGTATGTTTTATTTTTTGTTTTTTGTCTTGTCCATTGATCTGTTGTCTGTTTCAAGGTTCTAAGAAACAGATCACCAAGGCATTCAAACATCTTATTCCATTATATTCTTCCTACTTCTTAGAAGTAGTGTCTGTTTTAGTACAGCTTTTGTTGAACGGATCAGATTCAAAAAGTTATCAAGTCAGTCATAGTACAACTCGTGCAGATTCTATTTGATGATTGGAAGCCTGTTGTTAAGAAATTGTCAAATAAAGAACCAGAGTTGCTTCTGAACCTTATTAAGGCAGTCCTTGAAAAGACTGAGACTCAAGAGGCCATGGAATATGAAAGTGGTAACTGCTGTCTTATTTCTAACACGTTAGCTACATTTTTATTTTTTGTTTGTTCAATTAATATTTCTGGTTCTTTCATTGGACTTCTAAATATTGCATTACATTTAAGTTTTAAAATGAGAATATTGACATCACATTTTTTTGGTTGAAATACAGAGGGACAGTCCCAATAACAATTAAGTTAACATATAACTAGCATTTCCGAATATTGTCAAGAGTGGCATAATTTTTGCTGAGTTTTTATGAAAAATTTTACCATCATCTTGGCGAACACTGGATTTTCTTTGTTGGGTTTGGTTGCTGCACTACTTTTGGCTTGGAAAAGTTATTTTGAGCTGTCTTTAGGTGATGGAAACCTTCGTCCATAATATGCAAATTAGTTTTGATGTTTGAAATCTTAATAATGCCTGGGATTTACGAATCACAGAGATACTCCTCACTTAGTATTTATTTTAAATTTTTTGTATATGTAGACATCATAGTTGACAATCCCATTCTGTACCTATTGGTATGGTTCAGCACTTTATTGTACTGGCGACAAAATGATACGAAGTGAGTTGAATTCTCTTCAGGGTAATTTTTAGGGTAGTGCCTGATTATTTCAGATTGCACTGGGCTATTTCACCAATTGGGGTAGTATGGGCCTCTTCTGGTACATACTGGGAGAATTATTGTTTAGTCCATTATAGGATTTTATAAAGGAAAAATAGTTAAAGTTTAAAAAATAATAGAGTCCGATGGAAGTTTAAAAAGTAAAAAATGATCAAATATTTCAACAATTAATATGTATTTAGAAAAGTGTACACATATATCAAATATTTTACAGCAAAGATGAAACATGAGTAGGATTAGGAGTGGTTATGCCAATATCTTGCTTTTAAGATTTTGACTTGTTGATATGTTCACATCCTACTTTTTAACAGTTTAACTAGTTGACATGCCTTTATTATCTAATTTCTTAAACAAAACTTGGACAAACCATATAATCCCTCAGTTAATATCTGCCGCAGAGACATTGGTTTATGGCCCCTAATATCTGCATAGCTTGGAGAACTTTATATTTTGTATTTATGTCAAATAGCAAATGGCATTTGCTCATGCTACTTCAAGTTGGCTACACAATTTTACATCTTGTCATTCTGCTCAAATTTTGGTATCTGCTATTGTTATAGAAAACATATATTGCTACGTATTTAATAAATAAGATTATGTAGTTTATCCATACATTATATTTTTTAGTCAGATGAGAGGTATGTTTCTTAATCTTTGTTCACTCTGTATGTTTGGAACTACCCATTTTCATCAATTTTGATGAATGTTGAATTTCTATGTCAAAATTTGGGTGTATTTGATTCACTGTTGGTTTTGAAAGTTGATTGTATAAGAAAAATATTTATGTGTTTTTACCGATACAATCAAAGGGAAGTAGTTTATTAGCTCCCTATGAACACCTTAACATTGTGGATCATGATGACTTTGGATCATGTAAATTTGTAATAAAATCTTTTTGATGTGTCCAAAAATCACTTTATTGTTCATAGCTTAAGATTTTATTTTGCTCATAATCATGCTGCTAGTGTTGCTTGTATGCTTGGGCTTGTGAATTTTTACCGTTTAGCACCTAACTATTATCGATAAGAGTTTAAAATGAATTTACATATGTTGTGTCTTAATTTGATTATATAGATTGTTGCTATTTTAAAGCATTCTTGAGCTTCGTTTTTTCCCCGAGTTGATCTTTAAGCTATTTTGCTTTCTTTTCTTTCTCTCTGCTTAGTGGTTTCTCAACATTGTCATTAACTTTGGTTTTCTGCTTGTTTTAGTTAATGAAGAGGATGCAGGGCATCTTGATCATCAGTAAGTCCAAGCCTTTTTCTTGCAGAGGACGCAGGGCATCATTGTGAATTCTATCCCTTTGTCCATTATTCAGGTAAGTTCAACTTTACAAGTTCAACTTTACAAGTTTTACTTAAATTATATACCTTATTCAATTCTTGACATTCTTTTTCTTTTTCTTTGGTATAGATGGATGAACTCGTGCACGAAGCTAAATTGTACAGGACTAATTGGCGTTATAAGCATTTTTGGAAGTATTATATATTTTTGGATAGATGTGTATGAAAAATATTTCGATAGACTAGTAGTTATATTTTTGGATAGACTAGTAGTTATATTTTTGGATGGGTGTATATGGAAAATATTTCAGTAGACTAGTTATATTTTTTGATAGATGCGCATGGAAAAAAATTTAAATTGGAGAAATATGTACTTTTGAATTACTTGTGGATGGAAACTTATAATAGTTGTTGACTTTTATTAAACAGGTTCAGGATTGGATGATTTATGTATTTCTTTGAATGTTCATGATTCAGATACTTTGTTGGTTTGAATAATTCTTGCAAATTGCAGGTTGTATTGAATGGTTTAGATCCTTAAACGAGTAAGGCATTCTTGAGCAAAGTGGCCAAATCCTTGGCATTCATAGCATTGAACTCTTTCAGAGTTCCCTTGTATTTTTCCTTTCTTCTTCTGGGTTATAGAATTAATTTTGAATTTATCTTTGCCTTTGGATTTATGAGT